CAAAAATTAAGTTTTAATATATTTACAGTAGGAAATTTACAAAATATATTCATGGAACATGATCTTTACTTAATATCCTAATGGTTTTTGGCATAAAAGAAAAATCAATAATTTTGACCCATACAATGTATTTTTGGCTATTGCTACAAATATACCCCAGTGACTTGAGACTGGTTTTGTGCTCCAGGGTCACATTTCTGCAATTAGTTTTCGTGACGCTAGTAAAAAAAAATAACTTCAGCTTTAACTAATGTGCTCAGTAAGATTCTCTTCAAACTGTTGTTTTATCGTGACAGTCGTAGACTCGAAAAGGAAAAGTAGCCATAGAGGAAGATTTCGTAAAAAAAGCTTTTGGTTCACGTATTTGCGTAGAGGATGTTTCAAGCATAAATAATAACTCTTGCTGTGGGTTGACTGAATGTGTGAGCCGTGGAAGAACTGTTGATCTTCATCTTTGTAATATAGTAAAATCATGAGGTAAAAGCATGGTTTTACACACAGCATGAGGATCAGCCTATCCTGAGAGGTCACATGTTAAAAAGGAAGAAATCAAGCGAGAAAACACTGAGAAAACACAAAGGAATACAACTGTGGCAAATGTGTCTAATGGTTAGTAGCAGTCAAGTGAATGGACAGACTGAAGGTCCGGTCACACCAGGCTTTAAGCATGACAGGATATGATGTCATGCTCTGCTCTAGATTCCGTTAAAGCATTCAAATGGAATTCAAACAGATTCAGTTCAGTTCAAACGTTGGGTTCGGATCTGGACTGCATAATCTAATTAGTGATCTCTGCTTTATGATCTTTGCAAGTTCCAACACAATATGCTGCAGCAAGCAGATGCTGACGGTCGCAGGTGTATGAATGGGAGCGAGTCTAGTGTGACCGGCCATGAGAGAGACAGCTGCTAATGAAATGAGAGGAGAGATCTGAGGACAGTCAGTGAAGATCACAGCGTTACCTGACTGCTATTAAGCACTAGAGTTCTTAAGAGGTTCCAGCATTAAGCCGCCAGTTATGATGGAGATGGAAGATCAATGCTTTTCGTAGTAAATTGAGACGTTGAGAAATTTAGTCAGAAATAATTTAGGGCCAGAACAACTGCTGGTGGGTTTTTTACTCAAAACTATTTTTATTGCCTTTTGAAATTCTTTTTTGTTCTATTTACAACAACATCAAAATCTTGGCCTTAATGATACAAAGCAACACTACAGGGTATTTTCTAGCATAAAAGCCATGGAAATTCACGCTGTGGGACTTTTAACCATTACCCTCAGCATTGCAGACTACTGACAAATCACAGGACACATAATATAAAATGCTTTTGCATATAAACATTGAAAAAGTCCTGTCATTCATATATAAAGCCCTAACATATATCCAAAAATATAGGAAATTTTCAAACATGGTGCTATAAAGCTGCTATGATGCATATTTTTCTTTCCTACAAATAGCCCTCTATAATACCATTGCTATCTCTTCCAAAATACAAGTAAAATTTGACAATTCAAATACATTCCTGCTTTATATATTTTTAGATATATATTTTTATATATATTTTAAAAGCCACAAGTAAATACTATTTTCTTTTCGACAACAAAAAATAAAAAGAAGCTTACAGTAAAACATAAAAAATGTATCAAGTGAAGTTTTTTTTTTCTTAAATGCATTTATACTCTGACACGATCACATCCACAGAGTGGCGCTGACGTTATCATCCACTCGGCAGTGGTCAACCGTAAGACTCGACAGATTCGTTTCAGTTTCATGGTCTGAGGTTTGAAGTAGGTTTCACTTTTTCAACATGCCCACTCATGAAGAGCAGAGGAGATGAAGGTTTCTGACGTATTCAGTGCAAAATAAAAGGCTTGTGCCACATAGAATCTCTTTATCAAATGAGGCAAATATTGACAGATGGAAATAATAATAATAATAAAAAAATAAGTAAACAGCTGAAATAAAAAAGTGATTTGTGTGGTCCAGTATAAATGCACAGATTGGTAATCTGGAAGCTCTGTGCAAATGGGTTCTCAAAAGTAGATTTTCTTCAAAACAGTAGTTCCGTTATATAAAAACATAGCACAAAAAGGATATTAAAGACAAAAAATTAAAAGAGAGGAAGCAATCTCAGTATCTGATTTACTTGATATCTGTGGCCATTCTGGCCACAGTGGCTTAAGCAAACATCTGTAACACACACACACATACACACACACACACACACACACACACACGTCTAACCTGCACCAACTGAATTTTTATGCATGCGAACAAGGAAATATTAAGAGTCTGTAGCAATACTGAGATAAAGACTTGCTTTGTCAAATCATTACCCATCTTAAACTCATTAAAGTAATCATTTATGATTATTGTAATCATTTTAAACATGTGGTGGGGTCAAAATTAAAATCAAATTCATAATCTCTTTTTGAAAATAATTTTGGTTTAAGATGCTCTTCTGCTCATTTTTAAATCACACTTGAGAACATTAGGTTTTTACAAAGACTTGTGGAGTTCAATGAGCTTGAGCATTGCTAACAAACCAAATATTAAGACATTATTACATTTATGTTAATTTGTCAAATCAGCTTATATATACTCTATATTCAAATTGTTACTCTGAATACATACATTTTTTTTTATTATTGAATAAAAATAGCATTTTGACTAGTGGTCTCAGACTTTCCCATTCATCAGACAATTCGTTTTTCTCATAAAATTCTATGAGAATATTAAAATGGTCAAATTAATCAGGCTGTACCTGTATAAAAGTTCCAAATATGTATTAAACTTGTTGCTAGTGACACAGATTTAGTGAAGATCATCTTTCCTTTCTTTAAAGTCGAAGTGTGTAATTTCTACACCACTAGTGTCTCTAACAGAATTGCATTTTTATACTGTCCCATTACTAATATATGTCATTGATCAAGTCAATGTTGCTGTGCTCAAACAAACCAGTCAATGTTTTGTAGGAGTCCACATTTTTGGCTCTATACTAGTGTTTACACATTTCAAGGGAATCAACCTACAGATGGCTTACTAATAATTGTGACTGCATATATTTTAACATTGACAAAATCATACACTTCAGCTTTAAAGATCTCCTAATGGCATTTTTCTGTTTTGAAAAGCCTTTAACCTAATGATAGTGAACGTGGATTTTAACGTGCATTATGACTATGATTTGTATTTGTATATCCACATTAGGCTACATGTAGTTATAAACAATCACTTTAACTCATTTGGAAGGGACACATTCATGATGCGATCTCCGTCTATTCAAATGGCTCCAAAATGTTTCAAGAGTCAATATATAAAAACACTATTTAGTGTCTGCATAACTAGAGACAGCTAGAAATGTTGAGCGTAATGGGGTGAATAAAGCCCATGCTCACATGAATAGCTCCATTATTTGTCATCAACATCATGCTGAAATGATAAGGTCATCAGAATAATGGAATGAAGTCAACCACTCCACCTGTGCAGGAAAGACCTTGTGTGTGTGTGTGTGAACCAAAGGGTTTAAAACAAACACACCTTATTAAACAGCACAGTGCACTGAATTCAAGCTGTGGATGGCACGTCTTTTAACATGCTCAAACTGCACATGCTTCACAACAGATCAAGACCAACAGTGAGTTGCTACTGGTAATGAATAGAAGCACATGAACTAAACTAACCTCTGTCTGCGGTCACTACCCTTTGGTAAGGATGGACGCGCATTTCGTGCCTTCGAACTTTAGTTGTCACCGCACCTGCTTGGATTGCAATAACATCACCAGAAAACAGATCAGTCAAACCTCACAGTCTCCATCAGATAAATCAAATCAGACAGCTTTCGTAAAACGCCCGAATGTGTTTGACAAATGCAAATCATTTAAATTATACAAGTTAAGGCACAAATAATACTTTTTCCCCCCCCCCATATGCAAATATCTCATGTGTTTGTACAAAATTCAAACATGGTTTCATTCATCCTCAGTGGATCCGTGGGTTTTTGCGTAGCTTGCACACGGTATGACAGACAGGAGTGCACACTCTCAACGGGAAGCTTTACTAGTCACGTAATCTTGCGCTGGAGCGACAGTGTCTTTAAATATAATACTGATAAAGTCACTCTCTGAGAGAGAACAACATTTAGGCACATCTGCTGGAGTACAAAAAAAAGGAAAATAGAAATGCACACAATTAATTAAGTGATTAGTAAAGCAGGACAGTTTTTTTTCTCCTTCCATTCCACATCGAAGCATAGCAGTCAGAGGCACAGTCCAGGGGAAATACGTGGGAGTATGGAGGCATATGTATGGCATTACAAGTACAGCCTCTGTGGGGTCTGGGAATAGCCAGTGTAAACGAACAGGAGTGTGTCTGACTGACTGCTAGGCCAGATTCATGCTTCTGAACAAACACCACTCAAAAGCAACAAGGCAGCTGTGAAACGAAAGCATGTGAATGTTAACACTCAGATCAGATGAGGGGCTCAGTGAGGATCCTGGGAAACGCATTTAGCCTTTCGTGGGGAAAGCCACACCTAAAGAATAAAGGAAGGGAACGGGGGAAATTAGTGGCAGGACTGGCGGTCCTTGGGGAAACAACACACACCACAGTCAGACGGAGCACGTTTTAGGACAGTTCGTGGCAATGGGACAATCTCACTAAAACGAGATCATAAACTATTTTGTAAACTTTTTCAAAAAATTGGAGTCAGTATGATTTTTTTAAAAGTTTTTGAAAGAAGTTGCCTATGCTCGGTATATTTATTTAATCAAAAATACAAAAAAAAAGTAATATTGTAAAATATTACTTTTAAATATTGTAATTTATTCTTGTGATGATATACTGAATTGTCAGCATCATTACTCCAGTCTTCAGTGTCACATGATCCTTCAGAAATCATTCTGATATGCTAATTTGCTGCTCAAGAAATATTTCTTCTTCTTATTATTAAAGGCAGGGTACGTGATTTTTCAAAAACACTTTAGAAAACTGATTCGGGCCGAATAGCAAAACAAACTTGTAGCCAATCAGCAGTAAGGGGTGTGTCTACTCATGATGTGGAGGAGAGAGCTTTCAGTGCATGGGACGGACATTAGCCGAGCCGAGCGACAGAAAGATAGAGATGGCGGATAAAAAAACAAAAGATGAAAAACGTCTGCGGAACGATAAGGCAAGAAGTAGGACCCGTGTAAATATCGGATCAGCTTTCCAGCGCTGGAGAGAACTCAAGGAGCGGAGGCCTGCGATCGGACGCCGAGGTTGCTTTGTTTCTTCTCAATAGGTGAGTAACACCGTGTCTACAACAGCTAAAGTCTGCCTACACTGGACGCGATCAAACGACCGTTGAAAACCATTTGAAATGTGTGTCAGCACGTCATAAATAGAACCCGGCAGCAGTTTTCTGTCGGGATTTGTTGCGCCGCGCCGCGCCGCTCACGTCCGTAGACACAGTGTAACATTGGTTTTGCTTTGTTTCACAGAACTAATCGATGCCTGGGTTGCATACATATATGTGGGGCGGAGCTATCAAAATAGGGGCAAGACCCTTTTGGGGTAGGGGCGTGTTTGTTTTGGTGATTTCAAATATCAACATTGGCTACCAGAAATCGCTTACTCTGCCTTTAATGTTGAAAACAGTTGCGCTGCTTAATTTGTTCATTTTCAGGATTCTTTGATGGATAGCGAACAGCATTTATTTGAAATAGAAATCTTTTGTAACATTATAAATGTCTTTGCTGTCACTCTTGATCCAATTTAAAGCATCCCATTGCTGAATAAAAATAAACACTTTCTTTAAAAAAAATCTTATTGACCCCAAACTTTAGAATGGTAGTGTATGTCTAGATCATATTTCGAATAAAAAAAAAAAAAGAGAAATATGATATAATATAATAAAATACAGCTTTTTGTATTAAGATATTTTGCAAAGTGACATAAAACAATTAAGCATCATTTCCCATATTGTCATTACATCTGGGTGTTTTAATTTCTTAATTTCTCTTTTTTAATAATTCTCATCATTTTAATTCTAAATGCATTTACTAGAGCTGTAATACTGCAGTGCAATTTTTACATCTGTAGGGCTTCAGTAAATATGACTGAATTCAAATGCTTTATGCACTTCATATCAACACTTTGGGTTGCATGTATAGGAATTGTCATATGGATGTACAGCTAATCAAATCTGTAATAGTTTATAATCTGTTATTAAAGGAAATACCCAATGTAGTAACTCACTTTATTTATTTATTTTTTTCCACACTATTTCATTGTCAAAGGCTATTTTTGCATTTATGCTGCAATTCAACTAATGCATGCGGTTTGAAAAAGGCCTTACAGAGATAAGAGTATATTGGGAAAATGTGCTGCTACAATGTTACAATGCAGAATATCTCAATTTTCTTTATGCCAAACATGTTTCTTGTATTTTCTTTCAATGTTGGGGTAAACTACGACCTGAACATGTTATCAAAAGGCTTTGACAACTCTATAGAACTCTAAGGCAATATTCTCACAGTTTGATTATATATATCGTGACTATGTCATTTTAGATTTTAAGCCAAACTGCCCCACCATAGTGCATTCAACTGCCCTAAAACTGCTCGATGAACAGCCTGGCTTTCAACAGATGCCTCATCTCAAATAGTTTCCCTCCCAATTTAAGCAGCCCCTATTTGAGCCCCACTGTCCCCTCACCATCCTCATGTTGCCCCTCCTGATGCCCCTCACCCTGATGCGGCCCGCTCAGACTGAGGGATGGGGGTCATCCAGAAAAGCTTGTGCAGCAGTTTGGGGCTCAGTGCTTTGTCTCCCTCATCATTGTACACATAAAAAAACTAAAACATCACATTACAGATCAAAACAAAAGTACAAAACCAAAAAATAACAGAAAAACAAAAACCATCATTTAAAGAAACAGACTGAATGAAAGAGGCCGGGGAGTCCAGCCAGTCCGATAAGAGGGAGGTGGGGCAGGGGGCGTGTCTGCGGTGTGAGGGAGGGGCTTGTCGGAGGGGGCGGGGGAGAGAGGGGGCACTTTAAAAGGGAGGCCGACCGGTTGGCTCTCCGCGCTGGACTGTGATGGGAATGTGACAGGTCTGAAAGCCCAGGTAGAGGGGCAGCTCTTCGGCCTTTGAGGATGCTGTATAGGTCACACAAGAGAGAAGACAGGGTGAAAACCTCCTCTCAGCACTCCCACCCCCCCAAAACATCCTATCTCTTATGGGACGTTCACACATACAGCCGTTATATCACTGGAGGTTGCCAGCGGCTCTGCTTTACTACTGTTTTAATGGTTCTGCCTTAATTAACCAAATGAGAAAAAATAATGTGCACGGTTATTATGATTATTATGGTAATCAGCACCAAAAGCCGGTTTTTCAGTGTTTGCAAGAATAGGCATACAATCAGACAACACCAAAGCCTGCCACTTTCTTCTTAGAACTTTCTTAACTTCTAATCTAAAAAAGGTTTTGTGAATCCGGCCCCAGATTGTTCATAAAAAGTCTGGCACACAAAAATTTCAAATGTAGTTAAAATGTAAACGTAATATTATAAACTGGTTAGTTCTTAATTGTTCTGGTGAGGTGTCCATAGCTTTTGAAAAGTTAATCACAAATGCAATTTACTGGCTGTAAAAATAAGGTTTTCTTGCACACTAAAAACATTCTGGAGGAAAAGTTTTTAAATATAAATTTGAGCAGTGCATAATACATCATGAATGTTGATAAATTATGAACGATTATGAATAAATAAATCAAACTTACTTTTTGTAAAGTTTGGACAACTGACTAAATTTATATTCTGACAGACATTTTGATTATTTTTATAAAGTCTTATACTGAAATGCCTGAAAGTAGTTTTGTAAACATACACATTTTTAAAAAAATTTTTAAATTGTATTTAATTGTATTTTGAAAAAAGTAATAAAATAATTATTTTAATTTATTTTTCCTACATAAATTAAACCAGATAGTGAAGGAAAAACAGTCCAGTATCCTTTAGTAATGTTTATCCCGGGAGAAATCTAATAAAGTTAATATCAAATACATTTGAAGTTTTTTTGGGTTTCCATACCTGCATTTATGTTATTTCATAGTTTTGATGACTTACTGTTGTTTTAAAATATGGAAAAATATTAACAAACAAAAAGATGTGTCCAAATGTCCAAACCCTAGTAAAAAGTAATATATTTAAAATAAATTTATTTCATACTAAGTACTAAGTACTTTCATACTAAGTATAGTTCAAATCTATAAACATATTTACTGATATATCGCTAAAGACTTACTGATATAAAACTAATTCAACTTTGTTTGGAGTAATACTTGTGCACAATGCATATTTCTTATTATAAAGCCTAAAATGTGTTTTAATGTCACTATTGATGAGGATTGTATGATCTTTGAATAATATCAGTCTTTAAATGCAAGATATTTAAAGTGTACCTAAAGTATACTTGCAATAGTTCCACTTTAGCACAATCAAATATACTTAAGTATTTCTTTAGTTGGGCTTCAGCACTACTTCCACACAATTAAAGTGCATTAAGTACAAAATTAGTTGTTTCAATTTAGCAGACTTTAAGTATACCAGTTTAGTATACCAAAATTACAATTGCAGGGTATTTTTATTAAGTACATAATTATGTAAATGTATTTGTAGTATACTTAGCATGAAATAAATGTATTTCAAATACATTTTAGTATATTTATTTTTCACTAGGGAATTGATAACATTTATGTCTCCAGTTTGTGCCTTGTATGATGAGATGAACTTTTCTCAACTTTGCTGTATCGCTGGACACGCCCACACTAGTTGCTGTCAATCACGTCACTGGAAATCACCAACTGTCACTATAAATATATGACTTCTAGATGTTGCAAACCACTGTATGTGTGAACATGCTGTAGTGACCTTCCCTCCACCCCAGAAACATCCACCCACAGACAAGGCTGGTATAGTCCTATAAGGACCGTGCTGTGAACCATCCTGCTTGAGACGAGCTCAATAAACATGCTTATTGGACAGTAGCTAAACCCTACTTCATCTGCTCTAATTGGACACGCTGCTCTTGGCATTGGGATGGGCTATTTGTTGCTGCTCAACTTAACACCATGCCTTTGGGAGAAGCTAGTGTTAAACTGGCAGAATGTTGTTGGTTACATGATATTCATAATCGGCTTTTCTCAAGTGCTTTAATGAAGCCATACAGCTTGTGTGGAGTGGAGAGGACAGGGCTTTTGAGAGCGAGCACTCTCATTATTCATATAAAGCCAGTAGAGCACTTAAAAGCCAAATCATTTATGCAAACATTTCTTAAAAGGATTTTTTCTTTTTTTGTGATGAGGGAGTACTTTTTATGACGCTAAATTGATTAAGTGGAAAAGACTTGATATATTGTTGTTTACTCTTTTATATTATTGCCTATTACTGGCTTCTGTGACAGCAGAGGCTGGTGATGCTGGTGGCCCTAATGCCATAGGCTTTTTGTTGGTATAGGAGAGCAGATTTTGTATGTTGGGGGCTATTTAAGAGGAATGGCATAGGGTAGGGGTGGACGGTATGACCCAAATCATTCATTACAGCATGAGACATTTTATAGAATGGTAAAGCAATATATCATAATATACAGTACTAATTAAAATATCTTGTTGATTTTTTCTCTTTTTATATGGCATACAAACAAAAAGACCAGGGGCTGGATTCACATATTATTGGGGATAAAATTTGTCTTAACTGCTATTTCTCCTTATTTTTTAACTTAAGAACATCTTTTCTAAGAATAAGATAAGAATATTTAGCATTTCCAAAAAACATTTCTAAAGAATGTTCTTACCTTTTTTAGACTTTTTTTTTCACCCAGAAATGAAAATTTGCTGAAAATTTACTGACTCTCAGACCATCCAAGATGAGTTTATTTCTTCATCAGAATCAGATTTGGAGAATTGCAGCATTATATCACTTTCTCACCAATGGACCCTCTGCAGTGAATGGGTGCCGTCAGAATGAGAGTCCAAACAGCTGATAAAAACATCACAATAATCCACAAGTAATCCACACCACTCCAGTCCATCAGTTAACATCTTGTGAAGTGAAAAGCTGAGTGTCTGTAAGAAATCCATATTTAAGGTGTTTTAACTTTAACCCATCACTTCTGTCCAAAATACTAGTCCAGAAAAACTGAACTTCCTCCAGTGAAAAATTCCATACCCTTTTGTCCTCTCACATCAAAATATGATTTGCATATTTCTCTCCTGCTTCAGAGGAGATGACGTTTTCACTGGAGAAAGTAATATTATGGATAGAGGACTCTTATTTTAGCTGGAAGAACTGGTTTGAAATTAAAAACATCTTAATGATCAATTTGTTTCTAACAAACACACATAGTTTTTCACTTCACAAGATTTTAATTGATGGACCAGAGTCATGTGGATTACTTGTGGATTATTGTGACAATTTTATCAGCTGTTTGGACTCTCATTCTGACGGCACCCATTCACTGCAGAACATCAATTGGTGAGCAAGTGATGTAATGCTACATTTCTCCAAATCTGTTCCGATGAAGAATCAAACTCATCTACAACTTGGATGGCCTGAGGGTGTGTAAAGTTTCAGCTAATTTTCTTTTTTGGTGAACTATTTTTTAAGAATTTGAAACCCTCAAATGTAAGATGTTTAATGAGAGTGCAAGAAAGAATGAATGCAACTGACCACTCCATCTTAAGACAGGATATTTAGAAAACATGACACCAAGTGCTTAACGGCAGTCAAACCAGGGTTCGGAATCACGATGCCGGCTCAACATCATCATGTCTGTCAGCCATCGGTGATGGACGATGGCATCGTCTATTGGCACAACCCTACTTCTGACCCCAAAGTCTGACCATGCATGAGTTTCGTTGAGATGTTGAGATGAGTTGAGATAAGTTGAGATGTTGATCGGCAACCCTAAACAATCAAACTTGCTTCAAATAGTGCAACTTCAGTTTAAAGTTTTGTATTTTTACCCCATATTTCCTCATAGCACATGTAAGTAAGGTAAATCAGATTTATTTACAAAATGTCACATGGTATAAATCATCATACCGCCCAACCCTAGTGTACAGCCATGTAAAGCATGGGAGTCCACGGCCCATGCCGAAGAGGGATCTGGGGGTTCTGTGTAGTGAGACAAGTGTAGCTATGCTTACCTAAAACCCCGCTGGAGTCGATTGGATACTCCAGAATGGAGGTGGCGGGGGCCAGTGTGTAGGGGTACTCATAGGGCGTCGCGTAAATCAGGCCCGACTCCGGACCGGGCTGCACTAGGGTGGCAGCTGCTGGGTGGGCCGAGCCGTTGGGCATGACAGTCTGGATCTGGCGGATGAGGGGCATGAGGGTGGGCCCTGCGGGCGTGGGCGTGCGCAAGGCGTTGGGAGGCAGGACAGGTGCTGGGCCGGTGATGATCCGTGGCACCTGGGCGCTCGCTGCAAGAGAGAATGCAAGGGCAGCTGCGGTGAGCGGAAAAATGCGAGGGTAGGGGTGGATGACAGGTGGGGTAGGGACAAAAAAGACAAAAACAGTTAGTACCATGCACAGGCAAACACTGGACACAGAGCATGACTATTTAGCTATTGCTATTTAGCTATTCATTAGTAAACAAGGCAGGGGAGGGGCCAGCACGTTCAAACATACAGCTTAGTAACAATATCACACTCCTGCAGTTCTACAGCGCTTCAGTATTATTTACTGAAGCAGCAAAGCGAAGAGGAGGATGTCACAACATCCGATGAATTAAGAAAACATTGTTTTCACAGATAGCAGGGCATGTTCTCTATTTTTTCAGCTCATTAGCTGCTCTTTGGACGTATGTACTAATTCTGTCTCACAAAACTGAGACACTTGTCAGAACATTTATCAGGGTTACTTGAGAGAGGATTACTGAGAGCTGCGGTTACAAAGGCCTCAAACAATACCGTCTCTGTTTGCTTGAGAGGAGGTGGCGGCTTACGTGATTTGATATTGGCGTCTCTGTAGGTGCCGTTAAGAATGGCCAGTTCCATCAGTTGCATCTTCTTCAGACTGTCCTCGCCTTCAGCCTGTCGGTATAAAGAAACACATAAGGACATCAAAACAGATGCACACAAACAAAACACACTACTGCTACTGTTCACACTGCAGCTATTAGCGTTTTTTCTTCAACAAAACCTCTCGTACCTTGTCTCGCACATAGGTTTGGCCTGTGCATTTCAAGCACAGGGTTCCGTTGTACATATTTAATGTGTGTTTTTTCTCTACTTTGGTGGTAATAAACCTCAGTACTCAAGGGGGTGATAGAGTTTCCTTCAAATGTCTGTGCCATTAAAACAGTTATTTTTCTGGTAGCTAGCTACAAACATGTCGACCATTTAAATAACTGTGCTCAGCGAGATTTTCTTCAAACTAATTCAAAGAGAAAACTAATCGTAGAAGACAACAACCTACACTAACGCCTGCTATAAGCACTAAGAATGCATACATGTGTTGCATTATGAATTGCATTCGGACACTTTTTGAAGCTTAAATGTGTGAAATCGAGCTTGCATAATTAGCATATGAATTAACAAACAATGCACAGTTTATGTTTCAGACTGAACTAATTACAAATAGTGAAAATTAACTATTGTACATTGTCTAGTAGTGTGACAGTAGCTTTTTTAGTTATTTACTGTACACTCATCACTCCACAGCATTTCCAGAATTCCCTGCATATTATTTGATGTCATCTGTTTAGCTAACTGATTTTTCAAAACGGTAACTTTTGACAAACTGTACCTTTTAGAGTCGGCATGAAACAAAAAATTGCAAGTCTTTTTTTCCTCTTTTGTGATATTATATATTTGAGTGAAATAGCTTCTGGTTAATTTTGGTCAAAAGTTATTTCGCCTAGACAATGTCTCACTGATTGCTCTGAACAGCAACAAAAATTCTGCCAACACAGTTTTTTACTAAATTTTATTTAAATATGACAGCAGTGAATTTCAAAAAAAAAAAAAAAAAAAAACCCAATTTTCTTAAAAAAAAAGCCAAATAAAACT